AACATTTTCAAAAAAATAAACTGCAAAATGGATATCTTCAATTGTTTCAAAAATAAAATGTGTAGTCCTATTTTTTGTGAGTCTAATAAAAAAAAAACAGATTTATGATGTATTCATTATCTCAGGAGATGTCTCAATGAGTAAATCCTCGCGGGACACCTGTATATTATATTATTTTTACTTGTGCATGGGTTGGTTGCCAAATCGACCGGAAGATCTAAAAAAAATTTAAGGTTTAAAAAGGTGAAAATCTTTTTTTTTGTTTACCAAGTTATTCTGAGTTTCACAGACAAATACTAAAAAATAAAATCAGCATTTAAGTGAAATGTTTTTTGCGGTCCAATTATTTCCCCTCCGCTATCTAGTTCTGGACTAACCCTTGCTCTACGAATAAGTAATTTTTCTTTAAAATGGTAAATTGTTTGCGCATCTTAAAGCTCATATAAGTCACTTTAAAATTGAAGTTTATTTTTACTACTAAATCTGATTATAGGTCAATTTACTCACATTAAACATAACTGAACTAAATTAATTATTCAAAACTTATAATGTGCTATGTTATTTGCTTGTAAGACTAAGACAAAGCATGCGGGTATAGAGTCCTCTTAAATAAAATGTGTTATTGAAGGAAATGACCTAATTTTATTGTCTCCGTTTTTCAAATGCACAATTTAAAATATATTAACTAGAAACTCAGCGGTTCATATTAGCTACATTAGTTTTAATACCAACCTAAAGATAATAAGACTGTGTTATTTTAAATTTAAATCGTATAACTAATTATAACCGTTTGAAATATTTTTCAAACCTTCAACTATCTTAAGAATTTAGAATTTATAACCTCCAACTCAACACAGAAATTACAGTTAACTCTAATATTGTAACTAATGAAGCTGAATGTGAACTTCTGAAAGTAAATTTACTGTGTTAAGCACTTGAAAAGAGATAGAAAATGCAGGTGTGGTCATCCACTAACTTTATTTTCCTCATCACCAATGAATTACAGTAACAAGAGTATCAAGTTTATACAATTAAATATTAAACACTGTCAAAGAACCACACACTCATGTAGTCATGTGTTTCATCACAAAAAAATGTTTACATTATAATACAGTACTAGCACAGAATGAATAATATATTGTTCAATATAGATCAATAATATTTTAATTTATAAATAATATATAGTTTAATTGTAAACACAATTGGAACATAGTGTACCATAAAAACAAGGGTTTCTATAACTCAGTTTAGATCTATTGTAAATAAGCTTCAATAGATTCTTTTATTTTTATTAAGCTGAGTTTGAATGATGATACTTCACAAATAATACTGCTACTAATTCTTTACACATTTCTTCTAAAATTACCGCATTGTTAAATAAAATTACTTCAGAATTTCTGAAAAATAAAAGTATAAACATTATCATTGTCTATTTACTGTATTTTACAAATTTACTTTTCTTTTAATAGTTTGATTGAAGTACTATTTAAAATGCGTTTTCTTGCTTGAACCAACTCTTCATTGTAATTTGGGAATGCTAATATCTTCTTATGTAGTTCTTTTAGTACATGATACAGTATCATGTACAATGATGGTACATTACGTTTTAACGGTAATGTTGAATTTAACAAGTATTCATGTAGATATGGATGTGGTAAAGAACTTAAAAATATTATTATTTTTTTTAACTGTAAGGTAGTTGATGAGTTCTAAAAAATATTAAAAAAATAAATACATAATTACTATATATTTAAAAACATAATTAATATTATTTATTAATAACAACTTGATTTGGAATGTTGCTGATTTTTTTAAAAATCATTCTTAAAAACTGCCCTTCGTCAAAATCACATAGTTTAACTGAATCTAAAGCTTCAGTAGGCCATTCAAATTTTGTGCATTTATCAAATATATTCTCATAGTTATACTTCACATCTGTTATGTGATCTTTAAATGTATGTAATTGGTCTGAGTGTAGGTTTTGCGGAATCAATGCTAGCAACCTAAACATTAAAAAAAATAAATATTAAATATAATTATTGTATATTGCAATATTAAAAGATAAGCTTACCGGTTAATTATTCTATCAATACTTGAAGGTGCAAGAGTTCGACTAGTGTTAGAATTATTTTCATTTGACAGTAATTTTTTTTCTCTTTCGTCTTCTTCATCGCTCCATGTCCCTGATGTACATCTTTCATAATAGTTTCTGTTATTGACAAATCGTAAAATTATGTAATCCAAAACATCTTTATCTGAATCAAGTAATATATCCTTAAATAAAAAAGTAAAATAATATTTATTACCCTAGTTATATAAATTATATTAATAATAGATAATAAATATAAAAAGTACTATAAAAAAATTGAGAATGTTGAAAACAAAAATATCATCTGTAGTGGAAGACAGTTGTATTAAAATGTCTATTGGTGTTTGCTTATTGTAATAAGAACAATCAAGCTCTGATCGTAACCAATAATTCATTGCTGCAAATAAAATTTATTATCAAGTTCATAAACTATTAATAAATGCCAATTAAGTTAAGCTAACAATACCTACTATAATTTAAAGGTGTATGATCGGCTGCCTTATAGATTTTTTTTAACAAAAAAACATATGAAGATGATATTTGCTCTGAAGTATCAAATAATTTAATGAAAAATAATAATCTTAACGATTCACACAGTGAATAAGATATTTTTAATTGGCCATCTCTTATTACCTAAAAATAAAGTAATACTATTACTTAATATATAACCTAACAATATTTCTACAAGTAAGAAACAAACCTCAGTAATAAAATTTAACCAACAAAAAAATTTAGTGACATCGTTTGAATAAGTGGCATTGTAGTCGTCCCTATATAAAAATATTGTGACCGTTAAATATTTAAAATTAATTTGGATTAAATTTGTCCAACAATACACTTGAATTATATTTGTATGCTTTTTTTAATAGAAATTATTTTTAATTAATACACATTTCCGCTCACCTCCAATTTAATTCAATTGTTTCTAGTCCATTGTAATCCAATGTAGTTGGTAATGCACAAAACAAATTTCTGAAATGTTCGCTTAATGTTGAACATAGTTTTGTTTTATTAATTATGAAGTCTATCACATTTTCATCATTTAATTTAGTCAGCAGCAGTATACAATTACAACATTTATAGTATACATCTGTATTCTAAGAAAAATTATCTATATTAATAATAATAAACACTATTTAAACTAAAATAATTTCTTTAAAATGCACACACCTTGGTGTTGATGTATGTCAATACACAATCCAATAAATTTAATCTATTAAATGTACTTGATTCTGTTGATGATGCCTTTGCTTCTTCCAAATGATACATATTGGCTTCCTAATAAAGAGTATTTTAAAATGTAATTAAATTAAAGAAAATATATATTGTAGGTATGTTACATATGAAAAAAACATAATTGAAACATTTTGTTGATCGTTTAACAGTGTACACAGCATGTATAGAAAGTGAATCTGATCTTGTTGCTGTTTATTATACAAAACACTGTCGCATAAATTAATTAGCCTCTAAAAATAAAATATAAAATTAATAAGTACAGCTCTTTAAAATGAATCTATAGTAAAATATTACTTGAATAGTGACAAAAAAAGACTGATGAGCTAATACTGGATTTCTTAATTGACTGATAAGATTTGTCATATATTTTAATACTAATATCCTAATACCAATTAATTTTTCTTTTTCTGCTATAACTGCTAACATATTAAATAGGTCGTTTTTCAGTACATATTCCATGCACAAGTTAGTGGTGGTTTCTTCATTTTTATCTTCACATAGTAGTATCTAAAATAATATAAAATATAGGTATATGTATATTGTTTTGACATAACTTAGAACACTTTTTATTTTCTCTAGCTACAGTTGCATATTTAGGAATATGGTATCGCAGGTACATAATCAAGTAGCACCCCATTTATATTAACATCTATCAACATAGACATAATTATAAGGTATTAGATAACAATACACAACTGCCTACTTATTTATAATTGTTTAAATACATTTGTAAATTCAAATTTATTTACTGTGTTTCTTATACATTGTTATGCTTATGCTTTTCTTATTGATTTCAATTATATTAATTGTTATAATAGGTATATAATGTAGTCTAAATATTCTTTGAACTGTCTACTTAGGTAATAATACCTATAATCAGTTTAAAATGTATAATAGTTTCCTTGATTAATACCTGTTGTACAATTTCCAGATGGCCAGGTACATTGGTTTCTTCTACGCGAGTTTCGGAAAATTGTCCATCTGTAGTCCACTCTAAGTAATTTATCATAAATTTTTCCCAATGATAAATGAAATTTTCAAATGCAGGAGTTGGGGGGGCAATCTAAAATGCATTTTGAATAAATTAAATATTCAAAGTAAATTATGAGTGAAGTGTTCTACACTGAACAATTGTATTTACAAGCATTAATTTACTTAAAAAAAAATAATTATGTATTACACAACTTACTGTATCTACGACTGAATCTAAAATTGTATTTAATACTGGCATCATGTTTATAAATTTTGTTTTATTAATAATAAAGTATTTACAATATATTATACTGTATTTATTATTATTAGTTGATAATTATTTAATTGTAGTGGAATTGGAGAATACTAGAATAGACTATAGTATTCTTATCAATTTGAATACGTTTATATGATAAGACATTGGTATAAACATTTTGTATTTTGTAGGTTATACACAGTTAACACCGTAAATTTTTTTAGTTTTATTCTTAAACCTTATCACAGAACAATACTACTATAGTAAAAGGTGTATGGTTTTTTAGTAGATTAATTTAGTATCTTATATCGTAATTCACAGTAAACAAAATTTAATTTAAACTTAAAATTATATTATTCTAAAAACTAAATTAACTAATAAGTTAAAATAATATATTATATTATAATAATACCTTTACATCTAATTAATTTATCTTATATTGTTTAGATTTAAAATGAGGTTTTACAAGTATTGTGATCTAGTCAACGCTAATACTAACTATGCAAATCGGATGAAGATGCTCAGCAACCGTATTTTTGGTGAAGTTGTGCGGCCAACTAATGAAAAATCTATGAGGGTACCTAACTTATTTCAATACCAATTTCTTAGTATCTAATTTTATAATCATTTTTGTATTTTTCTAAATATTCAGGTAGTGAAAATGTTTAGTGAAGAACCATTATACAAAAAAGAAAATGTTATAAACTACTATCCTCGTCATATAGAGACAGGATTATTAATGAAAAAACTTCGAGAATACGGCTTGTATAGAGATGAACATCAAGACTTCATTGAAGAAATGAGGAGACTCAAAGCTCTTAGGGGTAAAGTGTTTGTTAAAGGAGAGAAAAAAAGAAAAGCTAAGAGTATTATATAGTTGTTCAGTCGTTCAAAGTTGCATTCTTGTACTAAAAATAATCTGTGTTCTTATTTATGTTTAAACAATTTTCTTTAGTAACATATTTGTAGTTATGTGTTAATAAAAATATGATTAATTAATTTTTTTATATATTTTTATTTTTTGAAAGGTGGTTCTACAAGTCACATTTTTCAAAATCTAAGTCTCAAAATCTCTTGATTCTATACAGTTAACATGTGTGGCGCTACTAGATGGTGGGTTTATGACTTCCCATCCAAGCATTTTTTGATTTTCTCATAAATTCTTCGACCCACACAATTTGTAGTTGTATACTTGAATAATTTGTTTAGCAATTTTATGTCGTGTAACGTATAAAGTAGGTATATTTAAACATTTAATATGAGCCCAAATTTTTTAGAATATGCATTATCTATAAATAAAAAGTAAAAATTTGAATTTGTAATTAAAAGATTTAGGCATGCATCGTTTCTTTCAAAATGAAATGAAAAAAAATGGATGTTGGTTTATTCAAAGTTAATATACCTTCTATAAAGCTAATAGAAAGTTTCCAGTAAAAGTTAAATCAACAGATTACTTGAGACAACAGTGTTTATAGTTATTTTTTCAATTCCTCGCTATAGTTAGCTTAAGCCTATAAAGCAGCGGTTCTCAACTTTTTTGAGTTCGCGATCCCCTTTAATGTCACCAAGATGTCCAACGACCCTTTTATAATGTAAGCATTACAAAATTGAACCAACTGTTATTATTATATTTATTTGTGTATATATTTTCCAAAAAAAGGTATATTATGTACACTTCAATGAACGCTTTTATCGACTATCGGACTATCCAAATATATATTTATATTATAACACTTACTATTAATAATAAGATTCTAAGTGAAACAATTTTTTCCCCTCATGGATTGACGACAGTAAAATAATTGTTGACGACCCCTCGGTTGAGAATCGCTGCTATAAAGGATAGCTTGATAAATCAACACAAGCACATTCTAAAAAAACTGTTTGAAATTTGTTGGCTGCTCCATTAAGGGATTTTCTTTGTATATTTCATATTTATATTACAGATTAGGTATCTATAATGAACCTTGAGAGCCAGTCATTGAGTAAGTCACTACAATATAGGCAGGTATGTATCAATGATAAGTCACTGCATACCAAAAACGACTCTGAACTAGTTTTTTTTTATAAATGTCAATATAGTTTTATGGTTGGGCTAAGAAGCATGAAAATTTAATACAAGACTCTTGATGTATTGTTACAATAGGAGTTTATAAAAAATATAAAAAATATATGGGCATGATTTTTTTTAAGCATTTAAAGTTCAAATCTTGACAATATTTATCAAATTGAAAATTGAAAAATTATTTTGTAGTTAAAAATGTATTAAATGTTCAACTTTTATAGCTAAGGATTGAACATTTAAAACAAAGTTCCATGTAAGTAGTTAATTCTGATCCCAAAAAATCTAAAAGTATACATAAACACAGCTTTTTTATAGTTATTTTAAGTTCAAATTTAGACGAAATTACTTATTAACACAAAAAAATTACGATTTTAGTCATTTTGTTCTAATTCAGTTCCAAAACAGCCCAATTTTACATAAGTATTTATAATATTTTTTTCAGCATCACTGATAATTTAGGAATAATATTAATTCAACTTCCCGGCTACCGTATTAATAATAAGTAATAGCAATATAAAATATCCTATACTGGCATACTGTCTCCGCTCAGAATTGTTTTCCGTATACAATTATATTATATCATTGAATTCAAATTTAATTCCATCCATTGCAGAGATCTTCTAGAGTTCTAGATACTTAATGTACAGTGGAGCGACATCCACTTCCCCTCTTTTTTTTTGAAAACATCGCATTTTAATTTAATTTAATTATATTTATTATTTATATCATACGTTATTGTTATTCCTCTTGACTTTTGAGTCAATTGTCAATACCGACTAATCATAGAACGGTAGAACAGGACCGTGTCATTTCGTGATATAAATATTGGCACAATTTGGGGGTTGCTTTTGAAATTAGCAATGCAGGTATCAACAACCCTAAGATAATATGAAAGAATGAAATAAAATAAAGGGGCTTCAGTACCCCTACTTTCTTCATCGAAATTGAGCACCTAGATATAAATAGGCAATAGGCAATAGCACAAAATGAATCTAATGTTTTAAAAATGTCATTCTGACATTGTCTATATCAAAAATATTTTCGAATTACCAACAACAAAATAACTGATATCATTATTTTTCGTTTAAATATCAAATACCGTTTAAATTTGAACATTGATTGTCTAAAAAAAAATTCTAGTTAAAAATGATATTAAAGTTGAAAATTGAAGAATTTTTTTCAGTTATAAAATCCATACATTTATGGCTCCACTCAGAATATAAAATGATAAGGTACATTTTTTTATCCAATGGTAAGGTATTAATAGTGATATTAGAGCTACCTGTTCAATAAAAAAATCCTATTTATTCTAGCTTCATAGGCTATGTATAATTGCTTTATAAAAGAAGAAAAAAGAGGGAGCTAAATTAACTTGCACCACGCCAATGTGTATATAAGCATTTTCATTAGAGCATCGGCCCTACGTCTTTTCGGTCATTTTTTAAACTGTTTAAAAATGGATTTCGATAAAATATTAATAGACTTTGGCGAATATGGCTCGTATCAAAAACAGTTAATCTGGTTAATCGTTTTACCATGTGTTTTGCCATGTGGATTTCATGCTTATAATCAACTATTCATGGCTTCCATTCCACAACATTGGTGTAAAGATGAATAGTAAGTACTTATATACATTATGTTCATTAGATTGGTTTATTATTAGTATTTTATTTTATAAATAAATTGTATGCTTCACTTTCAGCCATTTTAATTATACATCTAAAATTAATCAGTGTTTGGATTCAATGAATAACACGTGCAAATTCTGGGATTATGACCACAGTCGATATTTATCTACAATTGTGACTGAAGTAAATTTAAATAATCAACTTTTAATAGAAAAAAAATTGTTAGTTTTTTATAAATTGCTGATCGTTGTTAAATAGTAAATTATCAATGTATCCAAAATTATAGGCTTTGTATATTGCGATATTATTTACTTATTTTCAGATTTAGAAGCACCTATCTAATATTATATTAGTATAGGTACCTACTTCAGTTATGTCGCGGTCGATTACCTATATATATAGTTGTTTTTAATATGCTGTTAATTTTATTCAAATAATTTCTGAATAATTAGAACTTAAAATGTATGAATTTTATTTTTCCCGATTATAAAATATATTTCACCTTATTTATAACATAGGTAGGTGCATTGACACAGTACATATTTTAAAATCCCATTTTATTAATCATTGATGCGCATTAAATTATTTTTGAATAGTACATCCTAATTAAAAGACCCCTCTGCTTATATATAAACAAAGCGTTTTCAAACCTTTTGAGATTCGATCATTACCTACTCTTTTAATGTAATAATTGAAAGATAGATATACTACAACAATACAATAATAATAATCACTGTTGTATGAATAATGTTTACCTACATAATATTAATATTAAAAAGTGAAAAGTTGAAAATGTTGAGGAACAATAAATTGTATACTTCCTCCCACATGGCCCGATGCGGTACAGGTTATAGTTATACAAAGAGTGTAGGAGATTAAAATATATTCTATAAATGTATGTCTTTATAATATACACCTATCTAATAATGTAATAGAACGTGTAGCCGTGTAGGTATATGAATATTTGATTTTGATTCGTTATCATTAAATATCATCACGTTACGTTTAAAATTTAAATTTGAATCTCTCTAAACTCTGAACATTGATTTTATTTTAAATCCATAACTTTTGCAAAATACAAACAGCAACTAGTATGATGTATCAGTAGCTGGTAATCGGAAAAAAATCTTCAAGGCCATACCTAAATGTTGGATACAGCCATACAGGTGATACAGCTGTCAAAAATTATAATGAATATTAATACAAATTTATAAAATTTTAATGATGGGTCAGTTCTGCATAAAATAAAAAACATTATAATAAAAATGTATAGTATTTGAATGGTAATTATTATAAACATAACCTTTGCAAACTCAACAAAGCGAAATTTGGGCATTTTTTTCCGGGGATTTTTTATCCAAAGAATTTTTCCTAGATTCTATGTAGGTAACGTATCAGTGTATCACACCAGATGAAAAATATTACGAAAAAAAATTATATTATTAAATATTATTTGAGAAAATATTACGTAAACCTAATAGCCAATGGGACTAGGAGGTGGATAGGTACATATTTCTATACATATTATAGAGAGCTACCTCCGTCAGCGTCTTATAAAGTAAAAAGTTCGAATGCCATTATTCAATGTGATATAATACTGCTGCAAATTGTAGCGATTCAAATCAATGAAGTTCATATTTACATAAACCACCTATATATTAACACATATGTAGGTATAGGGATGAAATTAAGGGGGTGCTAAAATATTATATTGAGCTTTTTTTCAAAAGTATTCTTTACAAGACTGCTTTATAATGTCTATACGTATAAACAGTTCTTTTACAGCCCCACTGCCCCCACATGATTGAAACATTTAAATATTAATAATTATTAATATAATATATTATGTATGTATTTATTATTATTAATTATTAATTAACCAGAAAATCCCACAATGAGAATTAGGAGGACCAAATTATTTTATATATTTTTCACTTCAGTTAGGCGGTTGGATAAGGCCTAAACAATATTTATAAAATGTATTTATTTTTGTTTGAAATTAATCATTATTTATAGGTACACACAATTATTTATTTTTAAATAATCGGTAATTCATGTTCATTATAGGTATTTTTGCTCATTAATTTATGTTTCGGTAAATTTTAAGCGCGTTTTCAGTTAGTTTCGTAAACCCCGATTTAGTAGGTCTATAGGTACCTATACAATTTACCTTTTTATGGGAACATGGACGGGGTGTATATCGATTCTGCCGATTTTGCATCTACTCCGTCGGTACTGTTTAAACTTCTACATAATATGTCGATATTACCGGGTGCCGCGGCTATTAATTCTGGTGACTACTGTTTATAATAACTACGCATGTGTCATACATCGATTACGCCGTACACTGTAGGTACACCCCCTCGTTTTTATATATGTATTTTAAAATGTGTAGTCTATTTAATATATTTTAGACCAGTGGTGGCCAAACTTTTTTTACCTCGGGCCATAAAAAATTTTTTTTACTTTAGTCATCAAAATTTTAGGCATAGATATATAATTTCATATTTAACGACGTTTTCAGGGTACTCAATAATTTTAATGACTTTCTTTAATACTTAACTTAATAATTACTACAAATGAAAAAAAATTATATCGGCTTACATTTCCAAAAATGATGTGGCGGCAGACGAATAATAATTACTGTGCTCGTTGCGCAACCAATATTATCTACACTGTAGATTCTACAGCCATCGTGATAGTACGAAAATAAGATAAAATACGATAATGCTATTTATATTATTAAATGACATAGACACATAGTAACAACAAAAACGTTACCGTATGGCGATACGGGATTAAATATGTAGAATGTATACTGTATTTTTTTTTTAAGTAAATTAAAAATTTTTTTTTCTACTTAAATATAAAATATTATAGTTATTTCGGGGGCCAGATATTAAATGATGGCGGGCCGGAGTCGGCCCGCGTGCCGTAGTTTGGCCACCACTGTTTTAGACAATAATTCTATAATTATAAATTATAATATTAATATTGAATTAACATGCATATGTGAATATATTGTTAAATGTATAGTCTAAATTTTATCAAATTATGTATATATAATATTTTTTTTATTGATCTTAAGCACGGCAACTTAGCTTTATGTATAGGGGAGACGGTTAGTTTGAGCACGTGTTTGTGTATGTGTGGCCAAGGATTTTGTTGCTGAAAATCCCCTATGATTACCAATCTGGAAGCTAGCAATACCAGATGGTACGTACACTTAGAGCGCGTTATGCAACGAGTGTAGACACCCCGCCATACCGCGCCACAGTATAAAATTATTATAATTGTATAATTCAAGATTAAAGAGTATAACTAATTTAAGTAATATTTAGACACATGTTAAGTTAATAAGTGAACTTAGAATTTTTTTTTGGTTTAAATCATTAGATAAATTTTCAATACATTGTTGCTTTTTTTGTTAAATGCACCATTTTTGCTATTTTGCTAATTAAATTTTTTTACAACCAAAAGTTTTCTAAAAACCAGATTTACGAATTGGCTATTTTTGAATTTTCAAACGAAATATTCATTATTTTTATTTTTTATTTTCACTATTAAAAAATGTTCTATTATACATGTAGCACACTAGACACTAGTCAATTTATTTTATTTCATTCTGCAGTACGTATTGCAATGTGTTACACTATAATACGTATGAAAGTTTAAAATAAATTTATCAAAATATTTTTCATTAATCTTTTTTTTTTAATGATACGTTAAAAATATGATATGAATCAATTTTTTTGAAAATACATCATAAATTGGAAAAAAAAAGTTAAGAAAAGTTTATGAAATAATGAGTGTAGACATTTAAATGGATCACTCTGTGTCTCTGTACCTATATAAGTGTTATATTGATTATCAAAGTTTTAATAATGTGTTTATAAGTTGTATCTCCCTTACTTACTGAACTAAACTACAATTAAACTAACCTAAACTCATTTACTAGAAATTAAGAATAACTCCAAATTACTTTTATTTTGTTGAGAGCTTAAAACCTATAACACCTATTACCTACATAGAAAATATTGGAAGCATGAATGCAGGTTCCTAGAATATATATGATAAAACCCCATAGTATATTATTATTTACTTATTATTATAATAACTTATTATTTACCATATTAGGTAGATATGTAATAAGTATGTCTCTTAATAATATACGATTGTATTATGTTAACACGTAACACATAAAATAAATCTTATTTTGTTTTGTTTTATGGTATTTATACTGTCATTATGTTTCAGTGGGATTTGGTATGTTCAAAACAGTTTTATCCAACTTTTGCTTTAACAGTATTTGGTCTTAGTGGTTTATTTGGTATGTTGCTATTTGGATTTATTCAAGATGGGTTAGTTTAAATTGTTTTCTTTACGTAGGTATTCTGTGATATAAGTCCTTTTTCTCTCACTCCGCATTTAAATTACCTTTGGTTTTTGTACTTAAACTGTAGACTTGGGAGACGACCAGCGTTTTTCATTTATCTATTTATCGAGTGTATATTTGGTATAGCTACTGCATTTGCCGAGGATTTCTGGACGTGGTTGATTTTCAGAATTGGAGTAGGATTTACAGTACCAGCAATTTTAGCAACTCCCAATGTGCTCCGTAAGGCCAAATACAACATTTCAGAAATCTAAATGTTTTACATATAATTATTTAAATATAGCTATAGAATTTGTTGGCCCTGCTCATCGAACTACATGTATTCTTCTCACCAACATTGCTCATTCCATCGGTATGGTTATTCTATCATTAGTCTTGTATGCTTTTCGCGATTGGCGTCAACTTGCTTTAGCTACATCTTTACCATTTACTGTTTATTTCCTTTACTGGTGGTAAGTAAAAGTACATATTATATAGGTAGATATAATATAGATGTCATACAACATTTTACACTTAAAAGTTAAACGTATGTAGGTATATTATTTAATTAATTTTGTTATAAATAATAGGAGTTTCCCCGAATCCCCGAGATGGCTTTTGGCATGCGGAAAGTTTGAAAAGGCCAAATCAATTTTATTAAAAATGGCAAAAATAAACGGAAAAGATATTTCTTTGGATTATATGGACCAACTAAAGGTATATACAGTACATTCAATATTTTTAAATTAAAAACTTATAATGAGTATGCTTTTATAATTTGATGACAATAAGATTAAGTATGAAGAGGAATTTAATAATCAAAAAAGTAAAACGATCAAGAAATATAACGTGTTTCATCTATTCAAGACACCGAATTTACGTTTAAAAACAATAGCAATAACTTTTATATGGTATTTTTTTTTTATTATTAGGTCATTATAAATTATAATGATTAGTTTAATGTTTAAATGTCATTATCTCTATGCATTTTTTTCGCTAAGGTTTGTTAACACTACTGTTTATGTTGGACTTTCATATTATGCACCAGCTCTAAGTTCTGATGAACACTTAAACTTTTTTTTGGCTGGAGCTGTTGAACTACCCACATACATAGTATTATGGCCTGCGATGGAGAAATTTGGCAGAAAAAGCTTACTACATATTAGTATGCTGATTGGAGGGTGCGCTTGTTTAGCTGCTACTTTTCCTATTTTAGGTTTGCAATTAACCCACTGTACTTAGTTACTATTTTATGCGGATGACCTCAGAACTTTTTATATTTTATCTAAGTGTAATTTTTTTTTAGATGATCAGTGGACCTTGATAATGTTTTGTATCGGAAAAATGGGAATTTCGTCGTCTTATGTTATTCTATCTTTATTTGCTCCAGAATTATATCCAACTGTAGTTAGAGGTTTGGGAATAAGTGTTAGTTCGGTAGCTGGCATGATCGGACCTGTTGGTCTTCCTGTCCTTAATTATGTGGTAATAATTTGTGTAAAAAAATATTATATATTAAATAAATTGTTAAATATTGTAAATGTCATGTTAATTAGGGAATGGGCTCTCAATTATCCCTCATTGTAATGGGTGTGTTGCAAATAATTGGTGCTTTTGTTACACTTATTCTACCAGAAACAAAAAATTGTCATTTGCCACAAACATTGGATGACGGAGAAGAGTACAAGTGATAAATAAATAATCACACTTACATTTATTTATAAAAATAATAATATGTACATTTTCAATCCTTCATGCGGCATGCGGCGTGCCTAATTTACAATTCCATGAAGTTGTATTCTTTTTTATATCATATAAAACAGAGCCCTTTTTTACTTATATGTAATAAATTATAAATATCATATTATTATATACCGTGGTCATCGACTATCATCTATTTCATTAGTCAGTATTGGTAGCCATCACTAAAATAGTAATTTGCAACTCAAGTGGATTTTAGTACTAAATAAAAAATTTTTTTATGTAAGTAAAGTATCAAATTTTTGTTTTGAAAAATTGACGCAACATCAGAGTTTATTTTGAATAATAATTAATATAGGTTTCTTATGGTGGACACTTCACAATACCTATACTTAATTATCACTACAATAGTACAATGCATACTTTATAAATTATAGGTAGTATTAGGTAGCCATTAGGAACCTATAGACTAATAGACTATAGGCTATAGTACCTACATAACATGTATTTCAGTATAGTTAATACTTTGTCAATCAAAATCTATTCATACAATCGTATTTTGACTGTTCGACAAATACTGCATATTTAAATATTTTTTATGAATAGGTACTATAGCTGCTGTATCCGACTCCACGAGTGTGTAATATATGTAATTATAACACAACAGAACAGTATAAGCAGAATAAAAATCCGCAGGAAAAAAATCCTTATAATAAGAACTATTTCAACTGATATTTAGCCCCTAAGTATTTAATAGCCTTCGATTCGATGTCTTGTTTACAATACCTGCTAGAATCCAATCCCTTTAATCCAAAATATATATTATCCTTTCTCGTTTTTCATATTAAATCATTTATAAATTAAATTGATCAGTGAAAACGACTAATTTAACTCATGTGGTCTCAATAGCCACATCGGCATTTATAGAACAAAGTTGTCAGCCAAATCATCCTCTAAGACAATTGAACTTTCCCTTGCTTAATTATATTACCTCAGACCGATTTTATCCCAATCTTGCGTCGTCAGTCGTCATATAATCAACTTTTGGGCCAACTACTGGACTAATCTGCAGGTACACTTCTTAACCAAATACAAAATTACCTATTGTCCCAATATCCTCTATAAAAAAAAAAACATTGTTCAATCGGCTGCATCCGAATTGCATGCCAAAAGAAGCACATCATTTCTTTTCACCAACCGTCGCCCCAAAACTGCTGGTAATTAAAAACTGAACGGTAATGGTATTCCTTGGTCACCTAACATCAAATACCTACTTTGGTGTAATTTTAGACAGAAAACTAACATACGGATTCCACATATCACCTCCAAACTATAACAAGGCTACCAAATTCTAA